AAAAAAAGAATTAAAGAAAAGATCTATATCAGAAAGGAGAAATTAAGATTACGTCACGAAGAAAAGTATAAATACTGGAAGAAAACCGGAAGAAGTGAAAAGATAAAGAGAATATTGACAATAATCAGTTCAATAATTCACATGATCATAATACATTACACATTAGTAAATAACGAATTTATAATAAAAGAAATAATAGATACAATAATTAGATTGAATAGTGGGATTATTTCTAGGAGGAATAGAAGCAATTTCAGAATTTGTTGGAAGAATTTGTTTGGGAATATATAGTAGAAGCAGTAATAATACATGAATTAACAGGAAGAGAAATTGAAAATTAATAGTAAGGGTATAACGAAAGAGAAGATTGGAAAAAGATAATAAAAGAAATAGAGTAACAGGGATACGCTACATACGCACAAAAAGGAAAATACCAGAATAAAAGAAGAATACAGAGACCAAGGAATAGTGACTCAATATGTAGCATAGTTTACTGACGAACGAGAATATTTAAGAACAGCGGAAAGAAAACTAACTGAATAATATAAAGGAGTTCTGGAAACAAATAATTAGAAAAGAAGAAAACTTAACATAGCAATTAATCAATATAGCTAGAAGAATGTGATTCACAATAAATAAGATAGACGAATATACAGTATATATATTTAATATAATATTAATAGAAGAAGGAAATATAATCAAAGAATAACAGAAGAAGAATTAATAGAACAAAATGAAATACTGATAAAAACGAAAGAAAATAAGACTCAAAAAGAAACAAATCTAAACCAAGAGGAAATAATAGAAACAGAAGATATAAATCAAATAACTATATTAAAGGAAGAATCAAAGAAAAAAGACAAACTAATCAAAGAATTAGAAAAAGAAAAAGAAAATTTACAAAAACTCATACGAAACCAGAAAAAAGAATATTACCATTACCTCGAATCAAGGATTAAAAGCATATTGCTAATATCTGCAAGAGGAAATAAATCTAGGAAAAAGTGGATATTCCTTAGAAGGATGTGCAGAAGGTGTCAAAAAACTATTGTTAGAATTTACAAATGGTTAGACCAATATATACTGTAGAAGAATAAATGTTCAATTAGGACAAGAAGCAGACGCACATTATTTTTTAATAGGAAAAAAATAACCTTTGATTTTTATACTATTATTCGTTTTCTATATACAGTATCATATTTTATTACTTATTAATTATTATGATTTTGAAATTAATGTAAGAAACGACCTACAAACACTAGAATTTCAACTATACAACATTGACATTGAAATAAAATAAAAGCCCCATAAAGATAATCTTAAAAATTGTAAATAAAAAAATAAAAACAGTTTTATTTTTTATTTTATTTTTCATTTAAGGTGAGAAAGGCCACGTGTTATTTGCTTTAGTTAATAAGCAAAGATTGGGATTAAAATTGAGTGAATAGTAAGTATTAATAACGATTAGTAACGTTTATTGGCTTTGGTAAGCAGGTAAAAGTTAGGACTAATTCTGAGTAACTAATGAGTGTTAACTACAGTTATTAACGTTATTTGCTTTAGTGAAGTGTTTTCCAAGGTTAATTGTAATAAAATCGTTATTGCAAATCTAAGACTGTTAAACAAGCTGCCATTTGATTGGAAGTAAGCTAAAGCGAGCTTGTAATTGGCCAAATAAAAAAAAGCAAATGTAAACAACTGAAATAAATGGGTCACCAATAAATAAAAAGAAACTTTATAGAAGCCTTGAACTTTGTAAAAAGAGTCATCTTTATTTATTGCAGTTATCTGGTACCATTAAGTGCACTTACTGATTCGCTGATACAAGAAAGAGAGAGTATGCAAGAATCAAAGTAAATTAGTAAACTAATTAATTGATGAGCTATAAATTATTGTGACAAAAGTTAAGCCGTACTTGATCGTAAATAGTCAGCATTAACAAAATGGTTATCTTGCAATATTTTATGATTTTCGTGTAACGGGTCTTGTTATTTCTGGCAAGGCTTTTTTTAAATTATTTGCATTATTATTTGCGGAGAAAAACTAGTAATTGATTGTTTTCCTTTCCTTGTTTCTTTACATTTATTATTACTTATATGCCTTAATCATAAATCAGGATCATAATCTAATACATTTTTCACAAATGAAATATACTGTTTACTATCTATTACACGATTAGCCAATTCATGACTCTTAAGAAGTTTTAATGTTGATTTTTTTACGAATTTTGGCATATCAAATTTTCCAGCTAATACAACAAAGAGATACGTAGAACAATTGAAAAGTCATTGCGCGAATATCAACCCACATGGCCTAACAAGCTTCACACCAAACTGACTGGTTTAAACAATATGCTAGTCAGTTTACTGAGCATGTATGTAATAGTAATAGAGTCTAAATTCCGACTCTTGTTCGTAGGTCTTTTGTTTCTGAAAAATTCGAGAGTTGGATCGATTAAAGAAAGATTGATAATTATTTTAATCGGTTTATTTGTTTTTTTCGCCTCGTAAAACTTAACTGCTAATTAGTCCCTGCAAGATGTGGTTTATGTTTATTAACCATTTTATCAGTTTAAATATTTGTAGAATTAACAATTTTAACATTATTGTTTGTAATTTTTAAATGAGTTTACTTTTTTAAAAATATAATACATTTAATAATATGGTACATCGATTTTTTATACAGAATATCTTGAAATAATCCTTTTTTCCCTAATTAGTTTACTCATATTATCTTTAATTTTACTATCTTCATCATCATCAATACTTTCAATGCTAATCACTGTTGAATTTTCTTGTATTGACAATGATGATGATAATACTTTATTATCTTTAACATTTATTATTATATTGTATAATCTGGTAATAATGTTATTGGCAATAATAATTGAACTAGTTATCAAAGTTA